TTTGAATGTTTCTTTATAATTGTCAATTTCTTCAAGTTCTTTATTGAAAAAATTTTTTGCTTTTGATAAAGCTTTCTCGGTTATATTAATCGAGCTACCACTAGCGGTAGTGAAACCACATAATAATCCATCATTTCTGTTATTATTATTCATATCTATAAACTTTAATTATTACGCATATATTTATTGGATACGTTGATATTTAAACAATGTTGAAAAAAAAATTATTCGTTTTTACATTTCAACTGATGATATTAAAACATATTTCATTACTATACTTTAAATATACTATACTTAAATATACTAAAAGTAACTATGAAATCATTTAAAAAATGGCGTTTTGTCTATCCTTTTCTCATTATTTGTTTTTCTTGTTTATACTTTATATCAATATATAAACATTATATCATATAACATATATTCCGTAACTTTTATTTTTTGAAATAACATAATTTAATTTAAATTTTCTTTTTTCTGCAAACAATATTTATTTATTATATAAATATTATACAAAAAATTTTTATATGATATATAATATGAAGAAATATATTAATAATTAATAATTAATAAATTTTTTATATTTTTTTTTTGTGAAAATTGTGAAAATTGTATAGTAATTTTCTATAGTAATTAAAATAACTAATATTTATTTCGTATTTAAATAAAATTCTTGAATGTCAGCGTCAATTTTGCCATTTGTCTATTGAACCGGCCAAACATAGATTTAACCTCACATATTTATTGCATGTGTTTTATGCGAAAGTGTAATTCATTTTCATTTTTTAATGAATAAACATGAAATTTAAAGCGTATACAGGAATTACGTGGTCCATTTTGGAACTTACAGGTCTTTTAGAAGATGAAGATTGTTGTGTCTATTTTGAAAAATTTACAAAACATTTTGGTTTACATCCATTCCATTTAACAAATATAAATGCTGCTTTGAATGAAATTTTAAGTTCGAATTTAAATTCGTACGATACTGAGTATGTATATAATTTTCATTAATTTTCACTCGAAATTTGTATCCAATAATATAATTTTAAATAAAATGTAAAAAAGCTAACAAATATATAGTTATGTTTAGATATAATATATAGGTTATGTTTATTGCAGTTTAAAGGGATTTCTGTTAGCTTATAAGAATCCTAAATTGTTAACACCATTGGGAGAAATATTTTATGATTCATGTTTCATTCATGTTGATATTGAAGCAGATTTTTATATATTTAGACCTAAACTTGGATGTACATTGAAAGGTAATATACTTAGTTATAATAAAGTTTCTAAATATTTACTTATTAATAAACTATTTGTAGGAATAGTGAATAAAAAGGGATTAGATCATATTGGGATACTTGTACATAAAGCATTTAATGTGTCAATTCCAAAACCAGATAATGAAGAAAATTGGCCAGGTGACAATCTTGAAATAGGCCAGGAAGTGAGATTTCAAGTAACACTTCTTGATTTTACAAGTAAATTACCATTTATTCGTGGAGTCTTAAATTCAGAGTAAGTATATTTATTAATAATAATATTTAAAAGTTAATTTTAAAGTTTTTTTTAAAAATAAAATTACTATTTATTGAAAAAGATATCATCTACATCTTTATAATATTTTTCATTATTTCCAATGATTATAAATTTTTTACTATTATTTCAGTGATTATTTACGTGGATGTCGATTAATGCACAAAAATATTAATAATAAAAGATCATCTGCCGAAAATATTATTCAAAATGAAAATTCAGTTAATAGTGTTTCAGAAGCAAATACTAAACATATAAAGAATACATATTTTACATCTGAGTCTGATAAAAATTCTTCTGATGAAGATGTACCACAAATAAAGAAAGAAATTGTACAACAAAAAAAATCGAAGAAAAACTATGAACAAGAAGAATCAATTAAACATTGTGAAAAGAAGAAAAAAAGCAAAAAACATGATAAAAAGATTAAAGAAATCAATGAATCTATATCTAAATTGGAAACTGTACATGATTATATAAATGATTTTCATTCAAATGAAATAGAAAGTATACCCGAAAATAAATCTAATATAAAAATAAAATCTGAGAAAAGAAAAAATTTAGATGATATTGATACTTCTTTAGATGATTTCAGTACAAATAAATATGTAAGAAATTCAATAAGTCCAAATAAAAAAAGCTCAAAGAAAATTAAATTGGAAGAATCTAATGATATATATACACATGATATAAATGATGAAGACTCTTCAAGAAAACAACATAAAAAACATAAAAATTCTTCAAAATTGAATGCTTTTGAAAATAAAACAGACAAAGAATTAAAATAGAAGAATTAAATGACGTATACATACATGAAGTAAATGATGATATAAAAGATTCTTCAAAAAAGCAACAAAAGAAACATAAAAATTCTCTAACATTAAATGCTTTTGAAAATGAAATGGACAAAAAAATTAAAATGGAAAAATTAGATGATACATATATACATGAAGTAAATGATATAAGAGACTCTCCAAAAAAACAACATAAAAAACATAAAAATTCTGTGACAATGAATGTTTTTAAAAATGAATTAGAGAGAGAAATTAAGATAGAAAAATTAAATGATACAAATATTCATGAAATAAACGATAATGTGATGAAAAATTCTCCAAAGAAACAACGTAAAAAACATAAACATTCTCTAAATTTGGAAATTTCTGAAAGTGAAATAGATAGAAACGTTAAACTGGAAGAATGGAATAACACAGATTTACATGAAATAAATAATAGCACAGAAAATTTAAAGAAACATCATAGGAAGAATAAACGTTCTGTAAAATTAGAAACATCTGATAATGAAATAGACAAAAAAATTAAATTAGAAGAATTGAATAGCACATATATATATGACGTAAATGATGATATAGGAGACTCTTCAAAGAAAGAGCATAAAAAACATAAACATTCTGTAAAATTGGAATCCTCTGAAAAAGAATTAAGATGGAAGAAGTAAGTAATACATACATACATAAAGTACATGATGATATGGAAAGTTCTCCAAAGAAACAACATAGAAAACATAAACGTTCTCTAAAACTAGATACCTTTGAAAATGAAATAGATAAAAAAATTAAGATAGAGAAATTAAATGATACATACATGCACGAAATAAATGATAATACGGAAGATTCTCTAATAAAACACAAGAAGCATAAACATTCTATAAAATTAGAATCTTTTGAAAATGAAATAGAGATAAATAAAGAAATCAAAGCGGAAGAATTAAGATAAAAAAATAAAAAAAATTAATAAAATTGTTGACGTATTTTTAACTTGCTATTTTCATATTTTTAATGTATATAAGTGAAATATTTTCTTTTATAATTCATCTGACAAAATATATAATTGTAAATAGCTTGAAATAAATATAAACTAGACATTTTTATTCAAAATTCATATTTTATTTTGTAAGTGAATTGATTAAAACATATAAAAAAATTATTGATAACAAGACTATTTTAAATTTTTTAATTTTCTCATTTATATCAAGAAGTGTTTGTAAAAGCAATAATTTGTTATTTCGGAAGATTTACAATGAAAAATTTTATATAAAAACAATTACAATCTTTAAGCATTTTTCTACACTACATTTAGTAGTGTGATCAAATAATTTTCTTCCTATATAATAACATTTATTTTTTAAAGTACCATTTATATATATATATATATATATATATATATATATATATATATATATA